AATCTAAGAAGTATCTGCTCAGTTTATATGGGAGACGCTTGGCTGAGTGGTTGAGGGGACAGTTGCCGGTAGTTCGTTGGGTTATACGGCAGAGAATCTGCCCGCGAGGGTACAAATGTCTCAGGTTCCGATTATGTGAAGTACTTCTGGAGCATTTGAAATGCCGCTAGGGAGTGAAGACTATTACCTCCGGGTCCTACAAGTAGTACTTCAAGTATTATACTTGTCAAGTTAACTGACTCTGGTACGATATGCCATCATTCTCCCAAGCGACATATCATGTCGCGTCTCGTTTGATCCATCCGACCGTTCCACAGCGTGGTGAGCTCTCGAGTGACTCGAGTTGAGGGTTGGAGAAAGTTTGTCGTCCTCAGACTGATGAGCAGTCCGCTCAATTCGACAGGTTTTCTGGCGAGTACCCGAGAACGGAGCCGATGGAACATTCCTTCTCATCGTTTCCCTTGACTTCCGAACCAAAAGAGTTGATTACGAATTGATTACGAGTGTTCTCCCCAAAGATTGGTACCCTAGTGAAGAAGGAGTAGTTTGGACCCCATCGTGAGGCATGTATCATAAGCAGTGTGGGGAAATGTCCACATAGTCAATTACATGGGTGGCCGACGATATAAAATTATTGAAGAAAATTCGGGAAATTATCGTACATTTCTAACCCTAGTTCGTATACAAACGCCTATAATAAGTGAAGAAACTCCTGACTCAGTCCTGAGATCAGCTGAGGGAAGCACACATATATTCCTCGGGAGAGTCTTCTTACAAATATAGTCGCACGATGATTCGATCTTCAGCTCATGCAATTTTGCCTCTTGATAGCAAGTCCCACTTGCGATACCAAATCCTTATTTATTGAGTGTCGTTGTGTTGTTAATGAATTGGTAGTGCAGCGCCACTGGTGGTCTCAGCCCGATTCGTCTGGCCATGGAATACTGCGCTCTCAGCTGCAATGCGGGAGTTTAAAGTTCTGTGTCGATATGCCCGTTAATTGTAGATTGTGACAATCTGATTGCTTCCCGAATCGAACCTTGCTCAAGTTGAGCGGCTCAACCCATGGGTGGTAGGCAGGACCCTCCCTGCTCCTTTGCATCAGTTCACACAATTAAATTGAGCAGCCTGCCAGCTGTATCTGCTAGAGCTACTCCAGGTACTGCTTCGACCACTGTGATTATCGCAGTGATCGAAGCAGTACCGATATGCGTGGCAGCAGTATCGGTAGTGCGCCGATCACTCCGATCACGCATTGCGTGCGACAGTCTCGTATGACAGGAGTACTTGTGACGACCCAGCGGATCGTCCTCGTCTTATTTGTAGGAGTCCTTATTTGAGCGGTCTGGACAGCAGA